TATAGTATAATGGGCCCCCAGACCCTATTCTAATTATTAAGGTCCCCCTAGGTGTAGGGGGACCATGGGTTTTTATCAGGCTTTACTACGGTCTTAAATGCGGCTGAAGGGTTTAGGAGTTTCAGATTTGAAGGGCTCAGGGTTCAGGGCTGAAGGTTTAGGGTTTAGGGTTCAGGAGTTTCAGGGGTCAAGGACTAGACCAAAAGGGCTGTAGGCCTTTTATGGTCTTGTAGGGCTCTGCGTCTTCGGATTGAGGGTATAGGGTTCGGGCCTAATGGTTTGTAGGGGCAGCCTGCGGTGTTAAGGGGTTTTGCCAAGGCTCTTACATGGGGAGTTGTCAAAATTATGGTCCCTTTTGGGGTACCCTAAGTAATAGGTGCCGTATTATAATAGGACCCCAAAAGGGACCATAATTTTGACAACCACCCACATGATACTGTGGGGTTTAGGGTTTTACTAAGGTCTTCCATGGTGCTATAGGGCCGGGCCATAGGCTCTAGTGTTTGAGAAGGTTCTATGAAACTCTTAAAGTCTTGTGGGGCCTGAGGCTTGAGGATGTATAGGGTATGGGTTTAGGGTTTAGAGTTTAGGGTTTAGGGTTTAGGGTTCAGGGTTGGTTTAAGGTAGTACCTTCAGGCCTCAAAACTGGTTTAGGGTTCTGGGTTTCGGGTGACTCAACACCACAGTTATAGGCTGAGAGTCTACAGCGGTATCATGTTTGCAGGTTTGGGGTTTTCGGGGTTTCTGGCTTTGTAGGATGAGGCGTGCCGGATTTAGAGTACTCTGGGCTGCAAGCCTTTAGGATGCGGTTGCTTTACCGATTTTTCCGCAAGGGTTTCATAAGGATTAGGATTTGGTGTCTGGGTCCTTCTGAAGAGGAAAGTACATGCCAGACAAGGAATTGCACTGATCGGCCCAGACAGTTCTAGGCCCGACCCTGAACTATACCCACAGGCTCCACTGTAGTTCCTTTTTTGTGGTGATCCTATAAGGTAATCCTAAAAAGGGACCACAATGGAGCCCGTGGGTGTTGGACCTGCAAACAGAAGCAACAGCCCAGACTTTCAAAAAAAAACGGCAGCTTCGCGCAAACACTAAACACCAAAACGGCTTCAGCCTAAGGATCAGGGTGTCCAGGAATTTGGATGAAAGGATCACGAACATCTGACTGTAGTTGAATTCTTATAAGGCGTACTCTTAATAGCCCAGCTATGAGATTTAATGCCAGGCCCCCAACCCAAACCCCTGCACATCCGATCCCAAGCCCCAATATCCTAAACCCAACCCTAAACCCTAAACCCTAAACCCTAAACCCAAAATCCTACACACCTTACACGCTAAGCACTGAAAAACCCCGGTGAGTCCAACGCCCCAGACCGGCCCCTCAACACTGACCCCCTTGCACTACCTAGGGTTTAGGGTTTAGGGTTTAGGGTTTAGGGTTCTATTGTAGAGTTCCTTGTCTGCTTCATGTCTTTAGGACCCTGTAAGGTAATCCCTAACCCTCCAGGCACCTGCTATATAGGGCCCTAGGGGCTCTGGTACCCTATATAGTAGGTACCTGGGGGTTTAGGGAGTCCCAAAAAGGGAGCTACGATGGAGCCTATGGGTACTCCCAAATCACACTGGTAGGTACCCCTCAACAAAAGGGACCTTACTGGAGTCTCAACGCTCCCAAAGGCCATTTAATGTAGGGGTCGGAACAATTCTTGGTGTTCTTCTGGTTGGCTCTTAGGACTTTAACTTTTTGGGCTTCTATATGAACCGTAACAAGGAGACTAAAAGTTAAACTCAGAAGTCAGCCAAGAATTCATGGTGACTTCATATTAAGAAAGACCCCCCCTAAGGATGTGAGCCCTAGCCCTAGCCTCCTCCGTAATAAGAGTCTGGATCCAGCATCAGAGCCATTGAACTCCAGTAGCAGTAAATTTTAAATCCTTGTCAGCTCCTTTAAGCTTTCATCTATATTATGATGCTGGTTGCATTTTTGTTTCGCTTCGGCCGCTTGGATTCTGCAAATAGGGGCAGGGGTTCTAATTACGTTCTGGGATTTGGATTTTGCAATTGTGCGGGGGATTCTAAATATGAGGTTGACATCATTTACGACACCTGTCGCATGTCCCATATACCTGTTGAAAACACCCACCCAAAGCTCTAAACCTGTATCTCTTCGCACAGGACGTGGGGGTCGACAGTTGGTACAAGGAGTTCATGGAATGGGCCGTGGACCCGAACCAGGCGGAGACAAAGAGAACCTGAGGCATAAAGCATTTCGGGTTGCGGGCTTAGGGAGTCTGTAAGGGTGTAATAAAGGGGCCTAAATAATTACCAATAGTATTTTAGGGGTTCCGAATGAATATTTATAGCATAGTGGACCCCAAAACCCTGTTCTCGTTGTTAAGGCCCCTAAGGGCGCAGGTTTAGGAAGTTCGGTTGGGGCTTATGGGGTTTATGGCATGGGGGGTTTAGGGGCAGCCTTCAAGGGGTCACTGAATCAGAAACCCTAAAAGCAACACTTTTGAAAGCATAGTAAGGAACCCTAAAAATGCAGGTGGGTTTAGGGTTTAGGGTTTAGGGTTTAGGTTTAGGGTCCAGGTAGGGGTTCTAAGATTTTTTACCCCAAGCCCTGAAGCTGTTTCTCTTCCGGAAGGTCAGCAGGCTTCGAAGTCTTAGACCGTACACCCGTAGCCCCCCTTGATTGAATGTAGTAGTCGAAATGAGTCGTGCTAGCAGGAGAAAATGGCATAGCAAGCACAGTCATTATTGAGGTGCGTTCGTAACCTAACAGATGCAATACAACAAATCGTATTAACACGCGTTGTGGTATGAACCAGCACCACAGCATCACTAGAACGAACGTTATGATGATAGAAGCAGAGGCAGTGGCAGCAGCAATAGCAGCAGCCGTATCGGCAGCAGTAGCAGTAGTTGTCGTCGTCGTCGTCGTAGTTGTAGTTGTTGTTGTCGGAGGGGGAGGAGCAGCAGGAGGAGGAGGAGGAGGAGGGAAGGACGAGCAGCAGCAGCAGCAGTACTGCATTGCAACAGCTTTTGACACCCCATCGACTCCGAACCAAGAGAAATCTTCAAAGGCCGCGACTGCAAGTGCCACGTTCACACCGTCGCGCACCGCAGCAAATGCCAGATTCGCCGACCGACCCGCCCCATGGTTGCTATGTGCTTTGGAGTTGGCGAGTGTGTTGGTGGGTTATGTAGGGTGTTAGGCTGAAGCCGAGAAGGTATCGGAGTGACGTGAAATATGCCGGTCCGGTCGTATCCCCAAAAATCAAGATGCCATTATGGTGTATGCAGCGTTGCAAAAGCCGTGAATGCTGTACCGGGACGATTCGGAGATCATCCTTTGCAGCCTGGGTCTTTGGAAATGAAATGAATCCCCGACCCATAATAACATCGAAAGCCAAACAGCAGAAATATAATCCCAAACCAACCCCCCCCAACTCTCATCCCCTAAACCCGGTTGCGAGAAACCCTTCGTGGATGAGCCCACCCCAGATCCCTAGAACTGCCGAACATGGAGGTCTTAATGATTAGGCTAGGGCTTTGGTGGTATGTTGTATTGTACGCATTTGGGGACGACAATCCGAATACGATTGCCGACGATTCCGACCCATATGCCATTACCTGCGAAACCCGACAATCAGTTTCCTCACCTGCTGATCGAATGCACCGAAATTCCTGAACCTATTGATTTGGAGGTACAGGCCTTATGTAAAGGTACGATGATGAGCCCCCCACAACCCCAAGCTATACGATGGAAAGCTCACATAATGAATACTTCAAGTTTAGAGTTAGAGATGAACCCTAAGCTACGATGAGAAGCCCCCATACTCTAAACCCTGAGCCCTAAACCCTAAACCCTCAACCCTAAACCCTAAACCCTAAACCCTGAACCCTAAACCCTAAATCCTAAACCCCTGAACCCTAAACCCTAAACCCTAACCCTGAGATGATGACTAGAGCGGTAAGAGAGCCAAGGCCTTCTACAGCGCGTTGCACGCCTGGCCTCCGGGCTCCAACGTTAGAAAAGGGAGAAGGGGCCGGGTTCCCAAAGAACCCAACGGTTTAGGGTTTAGGGTTTAGGGTTTAGGGGTTCCCAAAGAACCCAATACCCCTTAATTAAGGAATATACCTTAAATTATAGGGTCCTTAGTATTATGATTTAAGGTATATTCCTTAATTAAGTGGTACTGGGTTCTCTGGGTTTAGGGTTTCAGGGTTTAGGAGTTCAGGGTTCAGGATTTAGGGTTTATAGGGCTTCAGGGTTTAATTAGGCGTTAGAGTTTCAGTGTTTAGGCTTTCGGATTCCGGGTTGAGGTTTTAGGGTTTAGGCTTTAGGAAGGAGGGGAGGAACAAAAACCCTAAAACCCTAAACTTATAAAACGTAGACCCTAAACCTAACTTAGACCCTTGACATCCGCAGCGCGAGAGGTATGTACTTGGAGTTTAGGGTTTAGGGTTCAGGGTTTAGGGCTTTGGGTTAGGGTTTAGGGTTTAGGGCTTCGGGTTTAGGGTTCAGGCATCCCACCTTCTTAAAAACCCGCAAAGTCTGAGGTATCGTGGCACCACCGGCTCTCGCTACCGCGGCTCCCTGATCTGGGCCTCGGAGGCCAAGCGGCAGACACCGAGCGTGCGAAGCCGCTGTCTGCTCCTGTCTTCTCAGGATGAATCGTAAGTTTTGCCAACTACCCAGGGGCTCCAAGGTAGTTCCTTTTTGGGTCTGTTATGGTTTTGTGTTAGGGAGTTATAATAGACTATCCAAAAAGGAACTACATAGGCTATAGTCTCCATTGTAGTTCCCTTTTTTTGGTGTAACCCATTCTATATTAATCATTCTATAAGGTACCCCCAAAAAAGGAACTACAATGGAGTCTATAGGTAAATCTTAAGTTTTGCGAACTATAATCCCTAAAAGGAGGTCAGTATAGTCTTAAGGTTTAGGCTTGTAGTTCAGGCACGTTCCCTGCCCACGGGCCACTGGGGCGGGACACAAGGCAAGGTCAAAGCAAAGTCAGTGCCCAGGCATCGCTGCTTTGGGTCTGATTTTAGGGTTTAGGGTTTCGGGTGGAGGCTGAAGGCTTCATGGATGAGAGCCGCTGTGTAGTGTTTAGGGTGTACGTAGGGGTTAGGCTTTAAGTTTAGGGTTCGGTGGTGCTTCCTGCTGACCAGCGCCTTCTTGATCAAGATAAACGGATCTTTCGGCAAGGGCAACCCTCTCAAATCCATTCCCTGTTTTGCCCGCTAAAGGTACGGCAGGTCGGGATACCAGAGCAGTAGTACCCAAGATGTTTCGTGATGGTGGGCATCGTAGTCAGCATCACTATGACCATCATGGCAACATGTCGCAGTATTCGGTTTCTTGCGGAGGCATGCAACGTCGATGGCAGTGTCGACGTTGTCCCGACTGGGTGCGACCTGCAACTTGGCCTTCCCAGAATTTGGAGAACGGGATTTCGAGGAGGGCTCCGCGGCTAGGGACAGGGGCCAGGGGCTAGGGCTTTCGAGCCTTCCTTCGGTTGATGGACAAAATCCTGCAAGACCTTATATACCTAAACTATGGGATTTATGGTACTATACTATATTTGGGTCATGCAGAATTTTGTCCATCAACAGTTTCAAGGGTTCCATGTTGCAGGTCTTAGTGTTCAAGAGCGAGACAAGCCTGGCGGTACTCGGAGTCTCTCGCATTGATGTTAACCAAAAAAGCCTCCCTGCCATCACGGAACCCTAGACCCTAAACCCTAAACCCTAAAACCCTAAACCACGGAATGTCTTCTGGTTCAGGGGTTGAGGCTTTGGGGCTTGAGGGTGCAACCGTGCATCAGGTTCTTGCACCTGAAGATCGAGATCAGCCCTAAAAAGACCCTAAACCCTAAAAACCAGAACCCTAAACCTTCAACCCTAATCCCTAAACCCTAAACCCTAAACCCCAACCCAAAAACGTAAACCCCAGCCCTAAACCCTAAAAACCTAACCCCCAACCTAAACCCTAATCCCTAAACCCTAAACCCTAAACCCCAAGCCAAAAACCCTAAACCCCAGCCCTAAACCCCAAAAACTTAAGCCCCAACCTAAACCCTAAGACTGAAACCCAAGGCTCCAAGCTTTCAGGCTTCTGATCCCAGAGAACCCAATACCCCTTAATAAGGGAATACGGTTTAGGGTTTAGGGTTTAGGGTTTAGGGTTTAGGGTTTGGGGGGTCCTTAGTATTATGATTTAAGGTCTATTCCTTAAGTAAGGGGTATTGGGTTCTCTGGGATTCCACAGGTCCGGAGGTCTCAGAGCCTCCCGCTTCAATGCAGAGTTGTCTCTGGCTGCCACGGACAAAGGCCGGGTTGAGGGTTTAGGGTTTAGGGTTTAGGGGGAGTGCCTGTTTTAAGTTAGGAAGTCGTGCTATGAACCCGGAAGCATGAAATAACGAAGGCTAAATCCTGTACGCTGAAGTGCCGGAAGGCTGGTTCTGCACAGGCTTCTTACTTCATTCATGCTTGTGTTGAGGGTCAAGACAACGACAGGCCTTAATGAGGTGATGCGCTGCATCTATGGGTCAGGATGTGAGGATTTTGACACAGCTGCCAGCAAGATTGCAAACGAGGGTGGAAGAGACCACACCCCGTCCTCAAATGTGGCGAGCGCCCTCTCCCCTAGTACCTTCAGCTGTTCCCTAAATCCTGACCCTAAACCAGCCACCCAACTGCAGAAGATGCCACAAAGCCTCATTCTAGTTGCATGTTGTTGAGGCCACTGTAGGGGCATGGAGGGTTCGAGGCGTTATCATGTTGTGCAAATTCTTTACACCGCTGATGTTAATGATACAGCGCAGGTTACGGCTTTACATACACGTGCTAGGGCGAAAAGTTTAGGCTGTATGGGGTTTCGGGCAGCTGACCTGAAGCATGACCCGCACAGAGCCTAAATCGGCATGCCTAGGATGTTGGCGCAGAAATCTGGAGCCCCAAGTTTCTCATATAGGGGCCTAAAGAGTTACCAATACTATTGCGGGGGCTCCTCATTATAATCATAGCATAAGATATCCCGAAAACCCTACTCTATAAGTCTTAAGGCCCCTAATCCCTAAACTCTGACTCTAACCCCTATTCTAATTATGTTAAACCCGGCAGCCTCCGAAAGGCACGAACCGCTATACCACCATGGAGTCCATGCGGAAGAAGGCTCGGAGCCCCCTTGCAGGGGCTGACCGGGGAGCAACACCCGACCTCAGCTTGGGCTTCCCCATAGGCCCCATAGTAGTTCCTTTTTGGGAGGGATTACCGAGTAGGATCCCAAATATAAGCCACAAAAACGAACTACTATGGGGCCTATGGGTCATGCCTCTAATGTAGGGGCCTTCATACTTAGAATAGGGTTTTGAGGGTTCCTTATTATATATTTATAGTATGATATACCCCCCAACACCCTGTTCGAATTATTAAGGCCCCCTATACTAAGTCGAAAAGCCCCTTTAAAAAAGCAGCCTAAAGCCGTGAAGAAAACCCAAGTCACCCCTACACCCTGTAATAACAGCAGTCACGATTGTCAGATTAGCAATAATAGCAATAGTCGTAATAGTAATCAAAGATACTATGTCGTTGAGAAAGTCATACGAATGAGACTTTTTCCGCTCTACTCACTCCTTTCCAGTTTTCCAAATCAGGTCGATGAGCTGATATCGGGTGCCTTTCCGTACAGCTTCGACTTCTTGTATTGGGAGGAGGCCTCTACCGACGGGGGGGGGGGGGGGGGGGGNNGCGCTAGAGTTCTGCAATTTCAAGACTGCTTCTGTGTAAGTTTTCCGTGTTAGGAAACTTTGGGTGGCGGTCTAATTAGAGCTTGACACCGGGGAAAGGGTCGTCGGGCAATCTTCAGCAGGCAGTTGCCTTTTCAAGCGTTTTGCCCTCCCTGCTGGGAGAGCTGACCTGCCTCAGCGGGGTGGACTTTCCCCTGAAAAAGTATTGTTGGCAGTGGCTTCCAACAGCCTAGTTGCACCTGATCAACGCATCCCATGCACTCGAAACCCTGAGTTTCCAAGCCCTACAATCAAATCTACACCAGAGACCAATCAAAAGGTTGGTGTGATCGACGCGGAGCTCGTTCGGAACTTGATGGTCTGCGGCGGTGCCCTTTGGAAGGAAAAGTTAGATTCAACATCACAGTATCCCCAACAGCAAGAATTACAAGAAGAGCGACACGAATACAACGAGTGTGAAGCTGACAACAACAATACTCGCAAATCGCAGTCGCACACACTGCAACATCGTTGCAAACATCTATAGAATTACCTATATATCTGAGCCAACACCCTATTCTGCTTCTTGATTCTCAAGGCCCCTAGCCTCACAAGCAGGACTTGTGGCAGAATCCGAAGGCGAAATTTAGGGTTGACAAACGACTTGGGGTTGGGACGTTCGGCTTCAGGAGAAGATTAAGTCGCCACCTTCCATTTATGCAGCTGCCTATGTTGGTATCCTCGGTCTGTGTCATAGAAATGGGATAACGAAGGAGAGGGCGAGGATGGAAACGCTTATTACCAGGCCCTATGGGTAGTGAGGCGAAGAGAGAGAAAGAGAGATATTGCAAAAGAGAAAGCGCAAGAGAGAGAGAGAGAGACATGGACACATACATAAGTACCTACATCTGCTATACATACTTCATGCGTTCACTCACTCATTCGTTTATGCTTCTCTCAGACAGACGGACAGACAGACATGACAGTCTACAGGTATATGTTTACAGCATTTCATACTAAGAAACGCACATGCGGGCGTGCATGAGTGTGTGCGACGAGGCACTCAGCACAGATGTGTCAACTACTGCAACAGTCTCGAATGATTACAGTAACCCTTTCAGCACGGATTCAGACGGACAGCTTGTCCAAGCAAGACTTCGCCACGACGTTCACGGAAACGCGCAGGAAAGAAGCCTTCGCGAATCCGGCTTCGCGATTTCTCCAAAACGAATTGTTACTAGGATTTAGGGTTTAGGGTTCAGGGTCGGGAGACAAACAACGATCCGTTAAGTCTGCATGCTGCAGAGGTCATTCTCGTTGTCATCTTCGCACTGGTGCCATCTCCTCGTATCGCGATCTGGGTCCCTTGTTGGGCAGCTTTGTCGTGGGATGGCTCACGCCAGGTAGTGCTACTTAAGGGGGTGTTTGAGTCTGTCAGTAATGTAGGGGCCTTAGTAATTAGAATAGAGTTTTGGGTATATTGTACTATTATTTTTCCTTGTTATAATTTATAACAAGGAACCCCCAAAATAGTATAGGTAATTATCAAGGCCCCTATATCATGTCTCAGCTCTAGGAGCGCACATGCTTTCTGGCGATCGAGGGCGTGCAGGAGCCGCTTTGTGCTCCTGAAAGTTCGCCATCGTAGACCATGTTTTGAAAGGGCCCAGGTACCAAAATAGAGTAAGCTCTTAGTAGATATCAGGAACCGAAAAGTACATACTACTTATAGTCTCCGTTGTAGTTCCTCTTTTTGGTTTAACCAGTTTTAACTAGAATTAGGATCCCATAAGGTAGCCCCAAAAAGGAACTACAAAGGAGACTATAGGTACGCTACCCATACCCTAAACCCGAAACCCTAAACCCCTAAACCCCTAAACCCCCAAACCCCAGAACTACAAAGGAGACTATAGGTATAGTGTTACTTGGGACCCTTTGGGATTGTATCTGGACCTCAGCAGGAGCGAGCCCGGTCCAGTATCACAGGACTCCAACACAAAGAAGTGAAGGGGTTTGGGGTTTAGGGTTTAGGGTTTAGGATTCAGGGTTCAGGGTTTAGGATCACAAAGAAGTGAAGGGGTTTAGGGTTTAGGCTTCAGGGTTCAGGGTTTAGGATCACAAAGAAGTGAGGAGGGTTTAGGGTTTACACCCCGTTGCAGGTTTCTTCAAAGCCGGTCATATTGCCCCAGCAAACGGTAAAAACTAAGCCCCCGAAGACCACAACCCCTGGAATGGGAAGTCTCAAGAGCTGCAAAAAGGGTTTAGGGTTTAGGGTTTAGGGCTTAAACCCTAAGCCCTAAACCCTAAACCCCCTCTAGCGGGATCAATCGGCAGGTGGTCTTATGCGTGGCACTCTCCATCGTGGACACCCTGGGCTTCATGCGCCTGGGCCAGCATAAATAGGAGCCTACACAACTACCAATCTTATTCCTTAGTCTTTCTTATGATGTTTATAGTATAATTGTAATGTCCCACCAAAACCTGAGTCTAATTATTGAGGTCCCTAGTATATAACGCCCGCTAGTAGTATGCTGCGGGATTTGGAGCGCAACGCCCAGATCGAAGCACCTCAAAAAAAGGGTTCTTCACGGACAATAAGGCTTAGGGTTTTACTGTTTCGGGTTGAACGTTTAGAGTTTAGGGGATATCCGAAGGCAGATATGGTGTTTGGGGTTCAGTATGACTCATTAGAGCAGTGGATAAATAAAAGGTTCCGAGTCCTACTTTTCGGTCAGGCAGTTTCGGGTTAATTAGGTTATACGGCCAACGTTTTTTTGTTGAGGGTTCGGGTGGTCTGGCGGTTTAGGGCTTTACGTACGGTGTCTTAGTGCCTGGTTACATTTTCCAAGAAGCGAAAAAATGCAAGACCAACCAGAAAGCCCCAGCCTAGAGTACCTGTTGTTTGTCTTTTGGACAGCACTCAGTGCGCCTTGTCCGTGACCTTGACTAGGCCAGTCCTCCGTGCGATTGTGATCCAGGATCAGCTCGAAGTCAGTGAAGAGACTTTATCTGAATGCCGCCTGAATGATTAAGGTATTTCTGGGACGTGACGATTAGCGGCGTCTCCACGCCGCCTTGACGCAGCGTTCGAAGTTGCAGAGTTGGAAGGCTTCAGGTAAGATCCCACAAGAGCACACCAGCATGAGGATCCCACCATGAGGGTGTTTCCTGAATCTCCCTGGCAGGGGCCCTTTTACCCCCAAAAGATGGGATCCTCATCTTGAATGTGGGTAGTTCTCTAAACTAGGGTCCCTTTGGGGGGTCCTTTTTATACTATATCGGGGACCTAGAAAGGGATCCTAATTTAGAAAACTACACATGTGGTTTTGTGGGGCCCCCCTAGAAGCTCGGCTTCCCATATCCCTGCTCACGCCGGCGAAGAGGATGCCAAGACCGGGGGCAACAACGTCTTCGTCTAACTATGCCTCGCCTGAGGCCTTTTAAAAACATCTTAAAAGCCATAACCCACTTATTTTTTAGGTTCTTGCTTTAACCCAGATATGTGAGTTGTAGAGTCCTACAAGCAGGTTCTGGAAGGCTAGGGTAGATGTAGGGTTTCTTAGGTCGCGCTGGAGGTAATCAATCAACTCAAACGCAGCCGCAACTTAGCTGAAGCCCTGTACCCTGGATGGACGTCATGCCGGCTATCATGGGAGTATCGGATGTTGCGGCACGTTTGTAGTCCTGAGGATCTACGTGCTGATCTGCGTCGGCTTGGCCGTGGATTATGCCGCGCACATCGCCCACATGTTCAAGGAGCCCGGGAAGAATCAATGATGCTAAGGTCCCAAATCCGAAAGCCCCAAATGACGATGCAGCGACGCAGGTAGGTCTCCGAGCCTAAAACGGCCCTAACTCAGAGAAGTACCCATGCCTCTGAAGCAGGAGCCGTAAACAAAACATTATGGCTATGGTCGCGCATGCGGACTCCTCGCAACAGCAAGGAGTCCACTGGAAGCCCACGAGAGCGTGCCATCGCCGCAGCGGAGCGCATTGGGCCGCTGGTCTTAGGATGTAGAGCGTCCGGCGCCCAAAAGATCTTCTCCAAATGCCTTCATTGAGGGTCCTCCGCTGTGGCTCTCTAGTGCTAGGGCTCCCTAATGATCCCCAATGTGCACTTAGAGTATGCCTGAAGTCGGGAATTGCGCGATTAGTGCTTATAGTTTTGGGGTCGTAAAGGCTACTAGTTTCAAAGTTTAGACATTTTCGATCCTTAGAGCATGAGCTGCCCATTATGAGTATAGTACAATATACCCCTACTCTCATTACTCTATTTTCTTCTGCCCGTAACCTTAAAGGCCTACATTTTCTGGGAGCTTTGTTGCGAAGCCTTGATCTACTTGCTCTAAAGCCCAAAGAAGCCCTACTAAGATTCCAAGTTGCAAAGCAGCGGAAGGCCCTGCACCTTCAACGCGGTCTTGTCCACCCTCTTGGCAGCGGCTCTGCCTGTGAAAAATGTCGGCTTGGAGGCTACGGGACCTAGCATCCGGGAAGGGTTTAGGGTTTAGGGTTTAGGGTTTAGGGTTTAGGGTTTGAATACTCATTTTTACTACTGTTACGTGGGTTGTTCGGGATCTTTTCTAGTTAGTCGAGGCCGCTGAATAAGAGCGTGAGTTACCGGACTTTCGGAGGTTTATTGAGTTCAGGGTTCCAGCATTTCGGATTTAGCGTTTAGGGTTTATGGCTCAGGGTTTGTAGGGTTTAGTATTTAATGTTCCGGGTGCAGTGGCCGAGGTGGTGGTGGTCGGCTTCTCTGAGAGCTACGTCTTCCGGATCTTCTTCAAGGCCTCGTGGTTTAGGGTTTGATTGATAGGGTTCTGGGTTCCTCTCATATTGGGATCCGTTTTGCGGTTTAAATTTCAGTACAAGCCCAAGAGGGAATGAAACATATTGGCATTTTAGTCTTAGTTTGGACCCAGTGGAGTAGAGATTTAGGGTTCAGGTTTGGCAGTTTGGGCTGCAAAACGGAGAACTGTGGGATTCAAAGGTCTTCGTGAATCCAGTTGTTGTGACATGAGAGTTTCGACTCGAGCTGAATGCCTCAGGCAGTGAATCGGATCCAGATCTTGTGTACGAGGAACTTCATGAACTTAATCTATTTTTCCACCGTAGGGATGCGAAGCAGACATCCGGCATTCGCCATTTCGGGCAGCTTGGGTCCTCACCGTAGAACTCTTCTGCACACGGTTCTCAAAACCCTATATGAAGCCATAAACACTGCCGAGGCTCTGCTTTCCAAAATCCTGAGAATAAACGCCGAATCCAGTTTTTTGGAGGTCCTCTTCCTCGTGGTAACCATTGCCGGGGCACACGGCCTTTGGTTGCTGCCTGTGGGCCCGGCGTGTTTAGCAGAGTGATTTGATGTTTTTGAACTTCTGGGGTCGGGGTTTAGTGTTTAGGGGTTTAGGGGTTTGGGGGTTTGGGGGTTTAGGGTTTCGGGCTTCAGAGGGTATAGAGGCTTCTTTGGGTCTAGTTTTGGGGTACGGGGCGGCTTTGGGGGCTGAGGGCCGTGGGAGATTTAGGTTGGCGGTTTACGGCTTCGCGCCTGGTTTTTTTCAGGTTTAGGGTTTAGGGTTGTGACTTCCTATGCCTGACTTTCAATGAACCCTGAGGCCTAAACATCTTAACATCATAGGCAACGAAACCTAAAGACTAATACTTTAAGGCTCCTCGACCATACCATATAAGCCTTTTGGGTTTCTTGAGGCTTGGGGTAAGCCATAATATAAGGGCCTTAAGAATTAGAATAGGGTTTGGGGTATAGTATACTATAAGTATAATAAGGAACCCCCAAAACCGTATTCTAATTATGAAGGCCCCTACATTATGCCTTAATCGCACATGCTGTGCCCTGGAGACGTCATGAACGTGAAACGCCAGACCCACAGAGAGTCCAACAAGCTCTTTTGAACGGGTTTAGGGTTTTAGGGTTTAGGGTTTAGGGTTTAGGGTTTTAGGGTTTAGGGCTTAGGAAGATCCACCAATTTCATCTCAGGCTTCTTCTCCTGGTTTAAGGACTGCTCAATACAGGGGTCCGTGAAACTGTGGAAGCTATCTTCAGCGCCGCTTGGCATTCAATAAACCGTAAGCCATAGCCCGAAAGTCCTAAGCCTTTCAGCCCCAACCCGCGCGGTGGTCACCATATAGCTCAAGACTGTAAGAACTACAAGACACGACCTGTTCAAAGCTCTGAAAGCCTATAACCTATACCAAATCCCTGAGACCACCCTGCGACAAAAACTTGTAAAACCCAGTAATGTCTCGCAAAAAACTGAAGCTGGTTTGCAAAAACATGAAACACAATATCTTATGTTATACTACTCTATGTTTTACTACACTATGCTGTGCTTTGCCAGGCTATGCTATATATACCATACTATGCGATACGACACCGTACTTTACTGTACGAAACTATGCTATACTGTACTGTAGTATACTATATTGCAGTATACTATATCAAAACTTTTAACAGGCTATACTCCTCTCTCTCATCATTCATCATTCAACTATTCTTATGATAGGCGCCCAAAACCCTAAACTCCAAACCCCTAACTTTTCTTATGACAGGCGATCCTCTCGATTTGCGGCGGCTCAAAGGATCCGGTTGGCTTCAGCGCAGGCGCTCTTGTTGCTTGGAGTGTCAGAGCGCTCGAGGTTCGGGCTCAGACCATTTGAGGGTTTTGTCGGGTTTTGGGGTTTGGGGTGTTAGGGTTTAGGGCTTTTGGTTTAGGGTTTGAGGGTTGGGGGGTTTCATAGGGTTTAGGGGTTTGAGTGTTAGGGTTAGGGTTTTGGGTTTAGGGGTTAAGGGTTTACGGGCTTAAGAAAGGTTTAGGGTTTGGGGCTTAGATCTAAGGGTGACGAAGGTTAGTAAGAGAAGTGATCGTTTATGCTTTAGGTGTTGTTTTTTTTTTTTGAGTTCGGAGCTTGTGGGGCTTTAGGTATGAGAAGCTTTAGGATGGACTTTAGCGAGATCCAGGTGGGTTACTATAGGGGCAGTATTGATTGCCTATACTTTTTGGGGCTCCTTATTAACATTATTATATTTATAGTATAACTGTAGTATAACTATAGCATTCTACAATCCAAAACCCTATTCTAGTTAGTAAGGCCCCTATGCTGTTGAGTTTGAGTTTAGCATTTGTCGGGTTGAGAGCTGCAGGGTCTTCATCGGATTGTCGTTGCCGATCCAGGGGATGAGGGGCCTTAGTAATTACAATAAGGTTTAGGGTTTAGGGTTTAGGGTTTAGGGTTTGAGGGTTCCTTAGTATACTTATAGTATAATATACGCTCAGACCCTACTCTAATTATTAAGGCCCCTATATGGTATGGGACTGTTTGAGTGGGTCTTATCCTCTGAGTTGTTGGATGGGTGTCCAGGTTTCCGGCTCCTTCAAACGGCTCGAAAAGTACTTTAAGATCCGGTTGTAGGAGATTCTGATGAGAGCTTCGGTCGTGACAAGGTCGCTCTTCCGTCTTTCAAGCCGCAACTCGGTCTCACGATGTTCGTGCTCAGGATCCAAGAGAAACGGATCTAATGCCAAGCTAGGAAGTCAGTGTTCGAGACTATGATTAATCAGGGCAGTCTTGACTAGACTCTGCTTCTCTCCTCATTTGGTTAAGCTCCATTACGACAGCCCAGCAGACCCTAAACCCTAAACCCAATTCAGACTACTCCAAACCTGCACAGCTGAGAGCACCTATGTCCAGGTGCGCGACCTGCGCGAGAGAAGGCGGTCTGTTCCGGGGTTCAGGGCTTTCCGTAGACGGCTTAATGGTTCAGGGACAAGGTTTTGGGGTTGGGGTTTTGGCTTTAGGGTTTTAGTAATTTAGGGTGCTCGCAGACTCTTCTGCCACAGTTCTGCAACTGTCAGCCCCAGAACGGCCCTGTTGACAAAGCGCCAGGAGACTGCAAGCCGCAAGTCTCAAGCTGCTCTGCACCCTACACCCTAAAATGTCGCAAGGAATGAAGAGCTTCGCAACTACATAGTCCTCCCAAGCAGGACAGCCGCGAGTGTCGGGAGTTCAGTCACTCCAGTGTGCTTCCGTGCGGCTTTAAGTACAACGGCAGGTGGAGGATTATGAAAAAAACGAGCCCAAGGTTTCTATGCTGGAGTTGTTGAGCCGGTTGCGGACCCACGAAGTTGTGTTGACTGATTTGGGCTTATTAGGGTTTAGGGCTTGAGGGCTTTAGGGTAAACCCCTAAACCCTAAACCCTAAGGTTTAGAGTTTCGTTGCGACTGTGGCCTGCTTGTCGGTGTTTGCTCTGCAGGTGCATTTTTATTTTAGGGTTTAGGGTTTTGGGTTTAGGGTTCAGGGTTTAGGGGTTAGGGTACCTTCTAGGGCGTTCCTTCCATGTCTATCTCGTTGCTGCCTGCCGATGAAATCTCTTTAGTCTCGTCTCTCAGTTCTAGGTACCCATAGGCTCCATTGTAGTTCCTTTTTGCGGACTACCTCACAGGATCCTAAACATGAGCCACAAAAAGGAACTACAATGGAGCATAGGTATGCATGACACAATCTCTGAGTGTGCAGGTGGGTCTCTCGATGGCGGGAAGGCTTCTTCTGTTGTGCTCTGTTGGTGTTATTATTTGTGAAGTCGCAGAACCACCATCCCATATGTTTAAGTATATTTAAGTATTCTGCGCCCAAGGTCCTACTTTTCTTTCCATTCTTTATATAGACTGCTCAACGTCGTGTGCGGCTAGTGGGGGGGGGGGGCAAACCGCGCACGCTCCGGCATTTCCTACTTGCCACGTGCTTCGCAGTTCAGGCGCAAGGCACTGCACGCACCCGAATCCAAGACAAAGGTGACCAGCTTTAGCAAGTCCGAGACTTCCTGAACCCAAAACCTCACACCGGCATCACGTCCAGAATCTCTTTCGTAAAGCCACCACAAATCTGGGACAAATGCTACAAAGACAAGCTTCGTAGGGTCCATGCAAACCATCCTCCTCGACCTTCCCAGAAGATGCCCCGAATGGAGCTATTTGGGTGCCCCGACTTCTGGGTATTCAAGCCATCATACCCTAAACCCTACAACCTAAACCCTAAACCCTAAACCCCTAAACCCCTAAAACTCTAAACCCCTAAACCCCTAAAACTCTAAACCCCGAAACCCTAAGCCCCTACACCCTACAGGAGGAGGGCAGCTCTTCGGACATCTCGGCCGTCCCACGCAGTGGCATTGGCCAGAGTGTCTGGGAGAACCACCCAAAGGGTCCAAGTACCATTATAGCAGGTACTTAATAGGTATTTGGGCCCCAAAAGTATATTCTGTAGAGCCCTCAACCCTAAACCCTATAACCCTAGTGGACCCCTTGGGCCAGCGAGGATTCTGCCCTGAACACTTCTCCCGTCGACCTAAGCGAGGTTTAGGGTTTAGGGTTTAGGGTTTAGGGTTTAGGGTGATCTTGCATAGGCCTTTCGTTGCCTGCGACTCTTGAAACTGAGTTCGCCTGCGACCCTCGGAATTATTCAGCGTTGGTGACCGGTGGACCCTATACCCTATAAACCCTAAGCCCTAAACCCTAAACCCTAAACCCTAAACCCCCTGAACCCTGAACCCTGAACCCTAAACCCAAGCCAACCCCGAACGAAATGCATGAAGACAGCATTGTAAATCTGATTTGCGACGGTCCCAAGACTGCCACTATGGCTCGTGATGGCTGGACCCACACAAGAAGGGAGACGGTAGGCAACCGATGCAACGATATGCAAAGTTCTCGACGCCGGCTCGGCGTTGGACGTCTCTGGCAGATGCATGGAGCGTGAAGGTGATTGTTCAGTCGGTGTTGGGTTCAGGATTACTTAGGCCTTTCGCACAAGTACACCGACAAATATATGTGTATGTAAACATGCACCTATACACGTAGGTTTTATAACACATGCATATGCATGCATGCATGGATGGATGGATGGATGGATGGATGGATGGATGGATGGATGGATGGATGTATACACTTCTACACATACATACATACATACATACATGCATACATACATACATACATACATACATACATGCATACACGTACACGCACGTGTACATGTTGCTACATATGGAGACGTCTACAGATAGTAGTGCCCGAAGCCCGAAACCTACAGACTGATTCTCTAGTCTCGCGGGATCCAAGATCATCCTGGTAGTTTGCAGAACGGTTTAGGGTTTAGGGTTTAGGGTTTAGGGTTTAGGCTCCATGGTAGTTCCTTTGTGGGAGTACCTTACTAGGATCCTAAATGTGAGCCACAGAAGGGAAGTGCAATGGAGCCCATAGGTACTCAGTAGCTGAGTAGGTAACCTGAACCTTTTGGGGCTTACAGAATCTTACCGTAATTGAAAAGGTTGGCCTTTTTCGGGCTAGGGTACTCATCCCCTAAGACAAGTTCGTTGAAATGCCCACCTCCAAGCAATTGAGCCCAGGGACTCGGACGAAGGTCGCACGACTGTTAAGAGCCTCTTGGAAGGGCGACGATCGCTTGCGACTCCTCATTTGCAGACTCGCGGGCTCTGCAGGCATTCTACATACACGATACATATATATATATATAATATATACATATATGCAATTGTAAACTATGTTTAGATAGATAGATAGATAGATAGATAGCACTTTGGCTCTGAAGCCCTGCATGGTCTCCTTGCTTTGTCCGGCCGTGGCTGGTGCAATTCCTGTCTCGGATGCCTTAAGGGCATTCCTTTTGACGGGCAGTGCTGCAAAAGCTGTGGTCGAGGACTTCGTTGCCAACGGATCGTTGGACGATCGTAGTGTGAACGAAATGCCAAGCGCAGTTCCGTAACAACATGTAGACATCCACAGCACGCATTGGCCGCGCAGCTAGAATGGCCACCCTGTTGAGGAAGACAGCGGAGTGCCATCGGTGATCACACTCAGGGTAACGGATGCAATTCGACCCTCAATCCTAAACCCTTAACCACCCCCAGAGCCTCGAAACCAGCATCGCATCAAAGGGTCAGCGGCCTACAGCCATGCCGTCAGCACCGCACATCCACGGCCCATTTTCCCATGCTCCACCCGGACGTGTCTTTGCCCCGGGTCACCTAAGGCTTTCGGGTTGGATCCGACTCAACGGGTTCCACAACTCGACGCCTTAAGGTCAAACGCGGCCCACCGTGCGTGAAAAAAAGGCCGTGCCGTGCGCTGTGACAGAAGCCACGAAGACGTACAGACTTTGACAATTCTTGCAAAAGGAAGCAAGAGCTTTGCAGGTGCTCTTGATTTTGGGTTTCTACCCAGAAAAACCAAAACCCTAAACGCCTCACAAATCAAGTCTGCAGATCCTGTGAGTGACGAAGCCCAGCCTTGGCAGTGCCCTCGAAGCTTGAGACTCCAACCAACGTTTTGAGGGTTTAGGGTTTAGGAAGTAGGGTTTGGGATTTAGTGTTTAGGAAGTAGGGTTTAGGGTTTAGGTTTAGGATTAAGGGTTTAGGTTATACGGTCAAGGGCTTATGGCTTTGGGTTTAGGATTTAGGGTTTAGGGCTTTGGGTTTAGGGTATAGGGGTTGGGACTCGTTTAAGGCTCAGGATCTAGGGTTCAGGGTTTCTCACTGAGACAGGCTCCGACGGCTGCGCAACCTGAGATGGGCTAGGCTCTCTGAC